CAAGTGTTAAATTACACAAAGGTCATCTCATGGACTAGTTTAAGTTTGAGTTCAGGGAGTTCTGTAACATATCTTTTATGCCATTACCACTACTATGTGTCTACACATCTTAGAATTGAGCCTCACTCTCTTGCTTATAACTAACTCTGAATTAATTTTCAACGTGCAATCAAAAACTTTGCACTCCCAGACTTTCTGAGCACCTTTTGTTCACATTTTCAAAAGATTTTTTTCTTAATATATACACACATATTCAATACTATTAAAATATTTGTTTACTCTGACTTTCTATAATCTATGCCTGACTAACAATCTGCTAAAAATTGTTACAGAATGACTTGAACCGAGCACTTCAGAAGATACAAACAGCCTTTTCACAACAAGTAATTATTTTGTGTTCCATGCTACTGTGTTTAATGTTCACAAGGTGAGATTGTCACATTGTTGTCATGGATACCAACAAAACAAGAGAACACACATGTCAAGAGGGTCGCTACTTGTACTGAAATATTGATTCACCCTGGTGATATATTTGACAGAACTGATTGGATGATCAGGTATTAAACAAAATAACTAATTAACTAAAATTTGTTAGGTGTTTTACCTCTTATTAATTTTTGATCACCTAATAAGGGGGTAACTCGTTAAAATTAGATTACCGGTTATCATGTTGACAGAAACATCATATTAATGAAATCAAACAATATGTCTTGATGATATTGACTGAGTAATGCAGAATGTGATTAGAGCTTAGTTTTAATTTTCACTCAAGGATAGAGGTGTGTCGATGGTCACATTTTATTAATCACGTATACAATACATGCAATAGTTGTTTTACATGCCATTCTATTGGAGATGCTCTTCTAACATTATCAAATTTTCAAATTAATTTCGGTATTATTTTCAAAATTATATTTTATTTCAATTAATATTGTTTTATGATACTTGTTTTAAGTTTTGGCATTTGCAAACAACCCTTGTATAAACAAAATAAAATATATGAATAAATAATAAAATATAGTTGACTAAAATTAATATTTGAAATAAAAAATACAATCGTAGAATAGAATACATAAGCTTCTTATCAAATTGAGTATTGCCAAATTTATTTGATTATTAGACTTGACTTGTAATCTAGTGAAGTCATCAAATTATTCATACTTGATTACCCAATACATGTGTTTTCTCTGAGTATGTTGGTATTTATCATATACATTCATATAATTATGTTTTGTCTTTGTTTTCATAGAATGATCTAAATCGTGCATGGCAGCAGTTGCAATCTGCCCTTGGCCAACTTCTTGTAATGCTCTGTTGTACTCTGATTTGCCTTGCTTTCACCAGGTGAGCAGGATTGGGATTGTAACCAATGAACTGTTATACTGTGACATTTCATTAAGAGTCATCATCAGATAGAAGACTACCTGTCAACTTCATGAATATTAATGTCCAAGTACCTCATGAATACTAATGTCCATATACCTCATGAATATTAATGTCCATATACCCAATGAACATTAATGACATGGGATTGAACAAGTTTTGTATAAAATATGAATTCAAATTTTGGTGAAGATGACATGTAATTTAGAGAGTGTTTTCCATTATATACAATGGGAAGTTCTTTCCCATAATGCATTGCGTATATGTGCAATAACATGCTCAGTAGTGCAAAAACTGAATTTGGCTGAAATCGCCTTAAGTACATGTATATTCTTGAGTACCATTTGCATATAGCCTGCCTGGCTGTACTAACTTATGCATAGATTCCTGTATCTTTGCATATTTTGTTTGATTACCAGTATTTTACATTTTTGAATGAATATGTTTTTATTTCCAGACATTGAATGTCACTGTCTCTCCTGAATTTTCTTATGTACAAATTGCAAGTGCTGACATTTCACCACAGAGACCATATTCATATTTCGAAGTACATGACAAGGCTGTTTGGCATTTTCTCTATTGAATGGCAACTCAATGCACTGTCCTGGTGTCAACCAGTCCCAGTTAAACACAAGCACCTTAATCAAGGTTCCTTCATAATGACTTTCGTTAGTGAATGAGTCTCAGCCAGTGGATTGAGAGTATGTGGCACACTCTTCGAAAGTTGGGAGTCGACCAGTTCAGGCCAATGTTGAATTTGAATATGCAACTTAAGTGACCAGTTTTATTTACAACTTATTTTTCGGCACTGCGAGCTCTCTGCTTAAATGATTCAAAGTTTTTTTTACATTATTACTATGAAATAAAATGTTTTTGTTGGGATGCAGATATTTTCAATCCATTTTCAATTTAAGATCTGTTACTTCTTGATCAGTACCTTGAATTTGATGTTTTCTATTTGGATACGACTAATTCATAACATTCAAGTCGTACTTTAAACAAGTTTCACCTTTATTTTATCATCGCATAACTATGATGACTTTTCCATTATAGTCATTTTGGCCTTCACTTAATGAATTTTGCAACAAAATTAGACAATATTTCAGGGGAAAAATACATATTTATCCTATCTGAGTTGCATTTTAGATTGTATCATCAAATTTGAGAGGACATATGTTTAAGGAGTCTCCATGGTAAGTATTGAGAATATTATAATGTAGTGTGTGCATTTATTCAGTGTTGTATTCTAATTACAATTCTATTTACTGTTATTAGCATATGTGGAGTGGAACATTTGGAGAGGGCATCACCAGACAAGATGAGTTTGTTTGAGGCTGTGTATTTCATTGTGGTCACTTTCTCTACCGTGGGTTACGGTGAGATACATGTACATGTGTGGCCATCACAACTATATGTATCTATTATGATTATAGCGGCATTGATCGTAGTTCCTATACAGGTCAGTTTATTCGTTATTTAGTCAACCATTGATTGTGTGTTGTTAGTAGAGAACAGGAAAGTTAAGAAACGCATTTTAGTTGGTTTTGAATTTTTGAAAGAAGATCAAATCAAAATCAAAATCAAAATCAAAATCAAAATCAAAATCAAAATCAAAATCAAATCAAATCAAATCAAGATGCAAATAAAAATTTGTTCTTGACCATATAATGAAAAACTGTGATGAACCAAAATAAAATTTAGATGAATTTAAATTTTTTAATATGTGTTTTTGTGAAATCAGCGATTAACAATGCGCCTAGAAGACATAGGAGTTAGTGTTTTGGGCAACATACTTGGCACATTGATTTATGCATAATTAAAACATTTTTTTCTTATACATCATAATATCTTCACTGGGTGACTTTGATTTGTTATATGGCTATCTGGTTAATGTATTGACAGGATTGAGTACATGTGTTACTGCATAGTGGATCATAGTTGTCTATCTGATTAATTAATTTAATTGTTTAATTCCTGGTGAATGATAACTTCATACACCTGTATTATTTGATATTGTCTACAATATATAACATACTTATAATCACTGCATAATGTCTTTTACACAGTTAGAGCAGTTAGCATTTTACTTGATGGAAAGACAGAAGCAGGGAGCATCTTATAGCAAGCACAGAGCCCAGACAGAGAAACACGTTGTAGTATGTTCTACTGTTATTCAGGCTGATCTCATCATGGACTTTCTCAATGAATTTTATGCTCACAATCATCTACAGGTATAATCATCACACTTGTCATCCAATTTTCATAGCGTACATTGGATTTTCAGATTTTGTACAAATATACAGCCAGTTTAACTCCATCCTTTATGCACACAGCCTCCGGTTGCATGTGATACTTACTTATTCTGTTATTGAACACACATTTTAGATAACACAAGAGACACCATACTCACATTATTACTTCTTATATGAATTTCTTTAAGATTATAGGAACATATTATAAAATATACTGTTATCAAACCCAAATAGTTTATAGTTTTGATGACTTTGTGTATATACATCACTTTTTTTCCTTTTTTTCTAGGATTATTTTGTTGTGTTACTATCACCTTGTGAGTTAGACAGTACTATGCGACTGTTGTTACAGATACCAATATGGGCACAGAGAGTTATATATGTACAGGGGTCAGCACTGCGGGATCAAGACTTACAGAGAGTTCGGTAGGTGGTCAGTTTCAAAGGTCATTATGGTTACATCAGTAGCAGTTATGGTTACATAAGTAGCCATTATTGGTTACATCACTAGCCAGTGTGGTTACATCACTAGCCATTATGGTTACATCAGTAGCCATCATGGTTACATCAGTAGCCAGTATGGTTACATCAGTAGCCATTATTGGTTACATCAGTAGCCAGTATGGTTACATCAGTAGCCATTATGGTTACATCAGTAGCCAGTATTGTTACATCAGTTACCAATATGGTTACATCAGTAGCCAGTATGTTTGTATCAGTAGCCAGTCTGGTTACAACAGTATCCAGTCTGATTACACCATCAGCCAGTATGGTTACATAAGTTACCAATATGGTTACATCAGTAGCCAGTATGTTTGTATCAGTAGCCAGTCTGGTTACATCAGTATCCAGTCTGATTACATCATCAGTCAGTATGGTTACATCATTAGGCAGCCTGATTACGTTAGTAGCCAGCCTGATTATGTTAGTATCCAATCTGATTACATCAGTTGCTAGTATGGTTCTATCAGTAGCCAGCCTGATTACATTAGTATCCAATCTGATTACATCAGTTGCTAGTATAGTTCTGTCAGTAGCCAGCCTGATTACGTTAGTATCCAGTCTGATTACATCAGTTTCTAGTATGGTTCCATCAGTAGCTAGTATAGTTCCATCAGTAGCCAGTCTGATTACATTAGTATCCAGTCTGATTACATCAGTTGCTAGTATGGTTCCATCAGTAGCTAGTATGGTTCCATCAGTAGCTAGTATAGTTCCATCAGTAGCCAGTCTGATTACGTTAGTATCCAGTCTGATTACATCAGTTGCTAGTATGGTTCTATCAGTAGTCTGTTGGGTAATATCATTGTTTGTTTACTCCAGGATGGATGATGCTGAAGCATGTTTCATCCTCTCACCAAGAAATGTCATGGACAGAATTGAAGCAGTAAGTTATTATTTTGTATAAAAAAATATTTCTAAAACTTAAAAAATGCATGTCTGTCAGTTTTCCCCCGCATGGAATAGTCAACATTATGAGTGCTACTTTTTTGTAAAAATAAAGGCAGTTCTAGTAATACATATGTAATGAAAAAACATGAGCATGAATTTATGTTCATTATTTTTACATACTTCAACATAAAATCATATTTATGTCAGTGGTTTTTAGAGTTCTCTTTATTTATTCATAGTAAGACATACCATATAAGTTTATTTTATAAAAAAAAAAAAAAAATTTTATGTTGCTAATATTTAATAAGAAATTATTTCCAAACTTATATAACTAGACCTAACTTAAAAAATTAGTAATTGATATAAAATGGAGTTATGAATTCTCATAATGTTTATTGTATTCCTATCATGATTATTTTTGGCTTCGTTCATTAAAGCCAAGTAAAGAGAAGCCTGCTAGCCTGGCATGAAAATACATGTAATCGTCAGTCATTGCATGCTTTCAAAACTCATCCACAGGGGGGAGATGATATTAATTGGAATGGCGTTGATTTTTCCAATTTTCCAGGCTGACATTGGTAAAATTAGGGATAACAGAAAAGGAAAAGGAAGCAGTAGGGAAGACATAAAACACCAATATTCCATTCGAGATTCAATAGTATGATCATCCAAACATTTATTTTATTTTTGGCTAGTGGGCTAAAGGCTGTACTATTTTATTTGGCTTTTTATTTTTTATTATATATGCATGTAACATTTTGTATTTCAGTTTTGTCCTATCCTGAATGTCTGTGGTCCCATCTTTTTATGTTATGCTAGTCACATGATCTTAAAACTGGATTGTGATTGGTGTTTGGAGTGGTATTCAAATTTATGCTGTATTTTGATTGGTTATTCAACTCAGTAATGTCAAACATCATGAATGTTAAAGATAAAATCAGAATCATATTTGCTCTGTTAGAAATGCAGGTGCATGCAGCTCTGCATGTATTCTTACTATCTCAATATGGCTGCCAGATTTTGACAATGCATGTGTTTCTAATACAGCAAATACAGTACATTGATTGGTCATTTCCGTCAATGATGTCATATGAATAATCAAAATATAACATATCCTGATTGGTTGATTCATAGGCGCTAGAAACATTTCCGTCAATGATGTCATATGAATAATCAAAATATAACATATCCTGATTGGTTGATTCATAGGCGCTAGAAACATTTCCGTCAATGATGTCATATGAATAATCAAAATATAACATATCCTGATTGGTTGATTCATAGGCGCTAGAAACATTTCCGTCAATGATGTCATATGAATAATCAAAATATAACATATCCTGATTGGTTGATTCATAGGCGCTAGAAACATTTCCGTCAATGATGTCATATGAATAATCAAAATATAACATATCCTGATTGGTTGATTCATAGGCGCTAGAAACATTTCCATCAATGATGTCATATGAATAATCAAAATATAACATATCCTGATTGGTTGATTCATAGGCGCTAGAAACATTTCCATCAATGATGTCATATGAATAATCAAAATATAACATATCCTGATTGGTTGATTCATAGGCGCTAGAAACAAATATATTAATTTTTAGCTCCGCTGTCGACTTTGTCGAGCGGAGCTTATCATATAAGTGATTGTCCGTCGTCATCCGTCGTCCGTGTCAATGTTTTACTTTTTCGACTTCTTGAAAACTACAAGCCTGAATGCTTTGATACTTGGTGTATATGTACCTTGGGTAGATCTCTCTCAGATTTTTTCATTTCATGATCATATCTTCAATTCTCTAATTTTGGTGAATATTTTTGTCATTTTTGGTAAAAAGTGATATTTTCGACTTCTTGTTAAAAACCGCAAGTCCAATTGCTTTGATATTACATATATAGGTACTACATTTGGACCTCTCTCAAATTTGTTCATTTTGTAATGATATCTTCAATTCTCTAATTTGGGTGAATATTTTTGTCATTTTTGGTAAAAAGTGAAATTTTCAACTTCTTGTTAAAAACCGCAAGTCCAATTGCTTTGATATTACATATATAGGTACTATATGTGGACCTCTCTCAGATTTGTTCATTTTGTAATGATATTTTTAATTCTCTAATTTTGGTGAATATTTTTGTCATTTTTGGTAAAAAGTGATATTTTCGACTTCTTGTTAAAAACTGCAAGTCTGATTGCTTTTATATTACATA